GCACCCGACAAAAAGGGCCGAAGCAGTGCTGGCAGATGATGAATCGGTGTCATATATATATATATTTAAAATAATAGAGGTTCTCCCGCACCCTCATTCTTTGGCACGGGGGTGCGGCGAGGACCATGCTCGGGCCAAATCTGGGGTTCCACCCGTTGGGTTTGCGGCGCGGTGACCGTGGCCAGGCACAGCTGCAGGCCTGCGACTTCCCGCTGCCCCTGCGCCTGGTGAAGGCGTCGGAAGACTTTGTGACCTTCGGTGCCGCGGTGCCGCAAGAGGGGATGAGCTGGGCGAGCGGCCTCGGCCGGGGAAGGGGACTTTTGGGGAGGAAAGGTGTGGTTTTCTAGGTCGCAACGATCTATACCCTGCTAATTTGCGTGGTGTTGAGACCGTTTCCAATTAGAGTATACAGGTCCCCCTCCCCAAAGAGATGGAATTCATTCCAACATTTGCATCTGGAACACTGGATTCTTATGATTCTTGGAACCTCCCCCCACATGATTCTCCTTTTTGGAAAAAGGCTTTCTCGGATTTCCGCCGTTCCGCCGTTCTCTCTCTCTCTCTCTCCCTCTCTCTCTCTCTCATCTCTCTCCCTCTCTCTCTCTCTCTTTCCCTTCCCCACTGTGCCCCAATTGGCCGACCAGGTGAGATGCGGCGCTTCCGCGCGGCGGTGCTCTTTCCCTGGGATCCCACGCTCATGGCCTTCTATGAGCTCTATCGACTGAACACCGTGCTCCTGCTACCCCGGCAGCCTGGCTTCAGGCGGTTTGGTCGGAGAGTGCCCCAGAAACAGCTTCACGTCGAAGCTGTCCAACAAATTGCGGAACATGGAGTTTCGGTCAAGTTGAACCCTCCGGTCCAACACCTCAGGGGTGCCAAATGGCACGGCCACTCCCATGGAGTTGAACAACCTCCACCACGACGGATGCGACGCGACGCTCTCAGGAGCGGCTGGATCTTCAAGGTCCAATTCTTCACCGGTTGGATCTGGTCGCAGCCCTTGGGTGCCCTGGAGTTCGCCCACCTCGCGGCAGCCCGAGGCAGGTAGAGAGAGAGAGAGTCTCAAAGAATCCAAAACCTGGTTGCCTCAACTTCCAGCTAAGATGGATCAGTTCATCATTGAATCATGTGTGAATCACCCTCTCAGCAATGTTGATGGAACCTCACGCAGGGATTCATGATATTCCACTGCGTGACCACTTGAGCACGTTTGGGTGACCACTTGGCTCACTAGGCCACCTTGGCTCGGCGCTCTGACTGCCTCCGAGGTGTGGAGAGCCCACCCTATCCGTGGTGGAGGCCTGAGGCCTCGGATCCGGAGACTGTCTTGTACTGGTGCCCTGCACCGTGGATCCGGAGCGCGCAAGACATGGGATCAAGGTGGTGAACTTGAGTGGTGTTCGGGTGGTGTTCGACTCTGGAGGCCGAAGGGTCGAGCTGAATCATGGCTTCCAGTGTCTTTCCTGCACCAGAAGCCTCCTACTCAGATTGTCTGAGTATCAACTGTGTGCGTGTCCAGGTACGCCTTCTCGGACTGTCAGCGCTTGCCGTGCCTTGGTATGCGTTTGCGAATGTTTTCTTCGATCCCCTGTCAACTTTCGCTCCGGGGCTATTTGGAGCGAGGGACCCAGGGGCCCCCAGGTTGAGGTCATGTCATGTGTTCCCACGTTTTCCATTCCTAATGCCCAAGGGGCTTGTTGCTTCAATGGGAGTGGCACAGTGCCCTAGGCACCTCTTGCGCTTCGGCTCCTTCTCCGAGCTCTTCCTGCAGCTCCTGGACACCGACCGCCTCCGCCGGGCCCGGCGGAAGATGCAGCAGCCTGGCGGGCTGAGCAGCCTGCGTCACAGGGGGGCGGAGCGGCGGAAGGTTTGAGCTGTAGATACCTTTGCCAGGCATCATGCACCAGGAGTGGTGATACAACCAGTTTCCTGCCCTCGTTTCTCGCGAAGGACCTTCAGGAAGGGGAATATCGGAATATCTATTATCCATGGCTCTTGTGCTTACAGCGGTCCTCTGTGTGTGCCAAAATGGACCATGCAAGTGCGGAGCGCAGGGGTTACCTAATTTCGTACAAGAGAAACAACAAATAAAAAACATGATATATGTATATTTAAGTATATAATGTTCGCGGGTGTGGCACCAGAGAGGATTTCATAATGGACTGGAATGGTGAAACCCCCCAGACAGCTCCTTGTTGCTCTTTTCCGGCCTTCCGGAAGGCCTCCCATGCTCTCGCTCTGCATTCTACGACCTTTTCTTTTTATAAGTTTCCTATTTTTGCTATCTCTTTTTTTTTGGCGTCATCTAAGCGCACCGTGGGCTAGTTTCAGAGTGGGTGGGTCTATCCCATTCACAGGTTCTTTTTTTCATGCTCTGTTTCTGTGAAACTCGAACCAGCATTTAGCGGAGGTTCCTCAACAACAACGTGTTTCGTGATTGCAAGTAGTAGTCCCCCAATAGATGGAAAGGGTTGTCACGACAGTTGGAGATGAGATTCACAATCTCTACCTGTTGTAGTATATATCAATCTTAGTCTTTACCCATTGAAAGGGTAGGTCTAGGGATGGTACCACCATCAAGAAGAAGCATCCGCATCAGCATCGAGTGACTGCGTGCTGCGTTGGCTGAGGCGGCACAACCGACGTGCTTTGGCCGTAGGGCTCCGTTGGTACCGAGATGCCGTGCTGTGGCTCCTTGAGGAAAAAGCCGCTGAGAAGAGCCAGGTCCTGTGGCAAACCCTAGATTAAGCAGAGAGATAGATAGACTGATGGATGACTGGATAGGAAACCTTGGTTCAATCCTGCAGTTTTTCAAGGCGCCAATGCACTTCCCCTCCCTCTGGCTTGCTTTTGTTGTTGAGTGTCTCATCCCTGATTTGGAGTGTAGAACCGGTCACCTGCAACTGGTGCTCAACCGTGCGCCTGCAGCGGCCTTTGGCTTGGAAGTTCCTTGAACTGGACTGACTGTGCTTGCGTCATCCCAGCGAACCAGATTTCTAGACCCTATTTAAACACATGTCTACCTCAAAGATATCGATAGGTTATTCCCACTTCGGCCCTCGGCCTGGGAGGCGTTTTGGCCACAGCGGAAGGTCATGTCAGCGGCTGAGATCCGTTCGCCACCAGGCGTCCCTCACCCTCGCCTTCTCTCGCCTCGCAGCTTCCCGAGGCCTGTCGGAGCCCACCGTGCAGGGGTGGCCCAGCTGGCTCCGGAAGACAGGGGGATGGGCAGAGTACACACGCTGAGAGAGAGAGAGAGAGAGAGAAAGAGAGGGGGATACTGTAGATAGATAGATAGATAGATAGATAAATAGGTTAGGTTAGGTTAGATTAGATTAGATTATAGATTAGATTAGATTAGAGAGAGAGAGAGAGAGTGAGTGAGCGAGCGAGTGAGTGAGAGAGAGAGAGAGAGAGAGCCAGTGAGACTGTGAGTGAGAGTGTGACGGAGAGCGTGCATGCGTGCCTGCGTGCCTGCGTGCGTGCGTGCGTGAGTGAGTGAGTGAGTGAGAGTGAGTAGAGTCAGAGCGGTGGGCGCGGTCTCGGACGACGGGACGCAGATAAATGTAAGAACCTCACGCAAAAACGTGGGGAAAAACCGCCTGAAGTACAAAGAAGTGCCGGAAAAAAAAATGGTCATATTGCAGTAGTCGTCGTGTTGATAGACAGCCGGAGGGGGGAAGGTTCAGAGGCTTGCAGTTTCCGTTGGGGCATGGCCATGGAGTATTCACAGTTAGTGAGTCGCCACAGCAGTTCCAGAAAACAACATGGTTTGATGTTCAACCTGCTCATGATCACCATGGCTTTGTTGGCTGGGCTGCCCGCGCTGAGGCTCGAGGGATCTGGATTCCTGTAAGGTGAACGGGAACTGCCGGAGCGCCCAGGGAAGGGCGGTTCCGTCGGGTCATATAGCCTTATGGAGCACAGGCCACCGTTGAATCCAAAATGCAAGTCCCATAAAAGAACACGAATTGATTAGTTGGTATCCATGTCCCCCTCTCGGATGTATTTGCAGTTTTGGCAGGCAGGTTTTGAACCCAGTGGCGTTCAGTGGCGTTCAACTTGGGTGGCACTCGGCAAGTGATCCCCAGTGTCAGTGACCTAGTCCAGGGTCGATGCACGCCTTGCGATCACACCGGATGCATACCGAAACCGAACGGTCTGCACCCTTCCTTGAATTGCTCGCCCAAAGGGTGACCCAAACTTCCTTGACCATCCGAAACA